CTGTGCAGTTCCATTACCTGAAGGTAGCATTTCCCATTGCCAGCGATAATGAGGTAAGGCAGCACTGGAGCTCCATCCTGAGTCTCCCACTGCTTACATGATAAAAGAGCTCCTTAGTTTCTGTTATAACCCCAGGTACGGAAGTGGAAATTGCAGGGTAAAGACAGAGGGATGAGAAGGTGTTTTTAAAAGGGCCTGTGGTGGTCAGAAAAGAGCTGCTCCCTGCTGTTTCTGGGCATTTGGGAGGCAGAAGTGATGCCTAGCTAAGCAGTTTGGGAAATGTAAATTTAGAAGGTGACTGAATTTGGGGCAATAGAAGGGTGGGGGAGGGAAATGAATAGCAAAGAGGCACAGCTAAATGAATGTTACTCTTGCCATTTTGTCAGATTAAAAATCGTCTGACAAGGAACTTTTTGAAGGAAGGATACATGGAGAAGACTGGTCCCAAGGTGAGCTGCTATGGTAGAAGAAATCTAACAGGGGCCTGCCAGAGCACCACTGACTTTCCCTAATTCAATGTTTTTCTCCTGCTGTTTTCCTCATTCCCCCCTGACTCTTTGGGCACCTGTGGGAAGAGTGTGTGTGCACCAAGGGAAGGGAGAATAAAAGGAAGGGGAAGGACACATATGAAAGTAGATGAAGCCAGAGTCCCTGGTTTCTCCCAGAGCAACAGATCTCTCTGCATGTGTCTGTGTGTGTGTGACCTTACAGGTATATAGTGTCCAGATTTCTCCTGTCTGAACTCTGGGGTCCTTCATCGAAGTTCAGGAGTTGGGGTCAGCAGCTGGGACTGAATAACCCGATACTGACCCCCACTCTCAGCTCAGAAAGGGCGAGAAGGAGATTGCTGTTAAGGCAGGGGCTTGCTTCAAGCGGCTGGGATGAGTTTGGGGTACCCATTCGCGTTGCTCGCAGCAGAGGGCACTGTCCCCTCACACATGTCACCTCTTCCCTTCACAGCAGAGAGAGGCTTTTAAGAAGCGCTGGTTCACGCTGGATCACCGCAGGCTCATGTACTTCAAGGATCCTTTGGTGAGAGGGGGATGTGACCTCGGGGCAGCTGCAGGCAGCGGTGCTGAGGGCAGGGTCAAAGAGCACAAGAGTCTGTGCTCTGCAGAAAGGATGGCTTGCAGGTTTCCCAGCTGCTGTAAATGGACTTCAGGTCTTCCCCTTTCCTTCCCTTTTAGTTCATCACATGCTTTCTGTGTTTGTTTCACTGCCTGCAAACAATGGGAACAGGGAGGGCAGCAGTGTAAAGGTGGTGATGGGAGGGTGACACAGAGAGATGAGAGCAGCAGTTCCTCTCTCAGACCTCTTGAGATTTATGCCCTTCTTGTTTCCTTTTCACTACTGCCTTTGAACACAGACTCACTGCTCTTCTGAATCCCCTGGCCACCTCCAAAACCTTTTGTTGCTACATCCCTGATCCTCACACACTCTCCTCCTATCCTTAGGTGCCCTGTAATGATTCTCTTGTTCTTCTGGGATTCCATAAGTCACTGTCTTTCTCTCCTAATGTGCAGGACGCATTTGCTAAGGGTGAGGTATTTGTGGGCAGTGGAGAGAATGGATATAGTGTCCAGAAGGGATTGCCTTCAGGGACACAGGGCAACTTCTCTTGGCACTATGGCATCACCATTGTCACCCCTGACCGGGAATACCTCTTCACCTGCGAGACAGAGACTGACCAGCTGGAGTGGATCAGAGCCTTCACTAGCGTCATCAAACAGGCCATGACACCACAGGAATATGCAAGTAAGTGCCTGAATGCTGTTTCCTTCCCCTCCTGCCACTCCCATTTAGGGTATTGCCCTAATGTACCACCTTTTCTCTTCACTACAGTTGAAGCCTACTTCAAGTTTAAATCCTAGGAAGCCATGCAGGAATCTCACTATGACTCAACTCTACCTGGTCCTATTGGGTGGCTGACAAGGACAGGAGAGGAGACTGACACCAGAGAAACACAGTGCTCTTAGAGCACCCTTTGAAGCACTTTTGCCTCCATAGAATATCCACTTTGTTTTGAGGGCCCAATTTAGCTGCTTCTTTTCAAGTGCAAGATTTTGTGCATCTGAATCCTCAGAACAACCTGTCCCTGTTAAATTGCTGTCGTCTGACTGGATGCTGACAGGACTTGCCTGTCAGTTGGGCCTTGAAAACTTTAGCACTTACTATGTTGGACTTGAAATCCAGCATCATTCCTGTGTGGAACTGCAGTCACCCACCTGATGCAAGAAAACAGCTGCTTGGCTGGAGCCAGGCACCACAGTGAGTTACAGGGGCTGCTGGACTAAAAGAGCCTGTTCCTTTACAGGAAATATACCTGCTGGTGACAGAGATGTGAAACCCCTAGATATTTGATCAGTTACTGCAGTGGTTGAAAAAGGTCATTTAAAAGATGTAACCTAACAGCCAAATGTGAGCCTTGTTTCCTTCTGCCATGTATGGGCTTGAAAACTTCTTCAGATGACATTTTTGTGCAGACCTTCCACCAAATGCTTCAGAGAAGATCAAGAGATCATCTCAAAAATAATGTGGATATACATTTGGGTATGTGGATAATGTGTGCATGCACGCACATAACAAAAATTGATGAAGGTGGAATACTGCCCTAGGGAAGATACTGTGAGGGATATTCATGCCACTGAAGATCAGCTGCTGAACTTGAGTCTCTATCAGACCAATGGAGAGGGATTGGGACTTGCAGAGATGAGCTCATAACATGTATAGAGTTCAGAATCTGTTGTCTCTGGTACAGCCTAGGGTTGATGCTGAATATAGTAATACATGGCTCTCTGCTCCCTCATTCCCTGTATGTCAAAGCCTGGCATTTTCATTCTGACCTGCACATTGCATATGTTTATATCACACATAAATATCTGTATGTTCATGTTCTATTAGTAAGAGTTAGCCTAAAATACTAAATCAACCCATGATTCACATCTTAAAGCTCATCTCTTAAAGCTCTCTTGGGAGAGCTATGCTTCACATGCTGGAAGGAGTAGCTGAGTTCTGCTGGTGACTGTAATATCTGATGTGTTTGCAGTTGTACACAGGCAGTGTGAGAGAAGGTAGCTCATGTGTTAAAGGGAGCTAACTGGAATTAATGAGACAACCAGTATTTTAATTAGCTCCTAAATAAATAATTTAAAAATACCATTATAATTTATTTTAACTTCCTAAATTAGCTGACATGTTAACTGCTGAGGTATGAGGTTGTTTCTTGGAAAAAAGTACAGACGATCAAGCAGAAAGCCATAGTTGTTCATTGTATTTCCTGGGGCATGTGGACTGTGATTATGCCCATCAAAGCCAAATGGGCAGACTCACAGTGCCCCTCCACTTCTCTGGGGACCCCACACTGTGCCAAGACCACCATAATCTGTTGGGAGCATCAACTTTCTGGATGAGTAGGAGCATCACTCACCCTACTACCATGATGCAATGGAAATATCCACTTAAAAGTATATATTCACTGAATTTTGCTGATCTCTCCCAGTTTGTAGCATGATTTTCCTGAAAACCAAAGGTCATTGCACAGTGAGGGGAGTACTGATGGGATGCCTCCTCCTTCTCCCATTTGCTGCTGAATTACCACTGCTGGATATGAGCAGAGGCATTTGATTCAGCCACAATGAAGCTAATACACTGATGGTGCAAAGGAGTGTGGCAGGGGCAGCCTGAAACCCTAAACTAACAGATGAGTTAATGTTGTATGGTACATCTGCCTCTGCTCTGCAAAGTCCACCATGTCTTCCTTGAGACAGCGAGGCTCAGATGTGAGTGAGGAAAGGCAGGGTGGCGTCGGGCGTGGTGTCATGTGGTGGTGTCTCACTAGAAGGTGGTGGTGCCTGCACAATGGGCTTCTTCAATGGGTGCCTGCACAATGGGCTTCTGCTCCCTGCTCTGAGGGGAGGCAGCTTCCCCAGGCTTCAAGAGAAGGAGGGGGAAAGCTGAGGAGATGATGGTCTTTGTGGAGAGGAAGGAAGAACCGAGCCTAAAATAACCAGTCCTTTGAGTCTTTAGGAGCTTGCTCCTGACTTGAGGGCAAAGGTGGAAAAGGGCCAGGACAGAAATGTGAGAGGTCATACCATCTGGTGGCCTGCTTGCAAACTGGGGACTGCATCCACAACACCCAAACCTCAAAGGGCCCTGATGTCCTTGGGAGAGAGCGGGGGACTTGGCTAGGGAGTTATGTGGCTGCTCCCTGCCTATTGCACTTCCAGGGCTGGCCCTTGTTTCCCTTCTAAAGCCACAGCATGATGCTTTCCACCCTCCCTGCCATATGAGTCTTGTTTTTCAGTTGTCTCCTGTCTCAAATGAGGACAACTGTACAAGGAGGAAGGGAAACAAGAACAAGAAGGAAGATGGAACAAGATAAAGGAAGATATGGGGAAAGAAAGCATGTCTGCCAGAAAGAGGAGGGAGCCAGTGGGGTTCCTTAGCTAGTGGCTAAAAGCCCAGCATAAATTTGGAGCTGTATTCACACCGGTGTGTGAAGCTGTGAGCCAGGCACATTCCTCCGTGCAGTGGTCAAGGCAGCTCTCAGGGAGTTGGTTCAGGGCGGCAGGGCTCACCTCTCCAAAGTCTGTCTGAGCTAAGCTGACAGACTTGGGAGCAGAAATCTACTTGTTCATCCACTGTTTCTGTGGGCCCAGCAAACTCTGGAGAAGCAACAAAGCTAGCGAAGAAACGAGACATTTCCTCCTGGCTGGCAGAGGTTATCTTGCACGTATTGGTCTTGAAAGAAAAGGCAGTGTCCCTTTCTTGGCTCTTTCATGGTTAAGGAAAACAACTGGACAGAACTTGTGACGGACAACATCAGCAAAATGGACTGGGCAGCTGGAGGTGAGGAATAGACTTTTCTGGAGCACCCTGTCTATGTCTGATGAACTCTCCCCATTCTTCCCTTGATTGCTTTGCTGTTAAGAATAGATGTGGGCAGGAGGAAGGAACAGGTCTCTGAGATCTTGATTTGCTTTTGCTTAACTTACCCAAAGATGTCTTACAACACTTTTCTCATCAGCCCAAGTCCTAGAGAGGATCCCAAGGGTGGCAGTTTCTTGGAGGAAAGCAGTGGTGGGGGTGATGACAGCAATGTCCTGGGAGGGGATAGCCTGGTCACAGGGCTGCTGGGTGCAGTGCTGCTGGTCATGTGCCTCACTGGGATGGTGGGGAACATCTACACAGTGGCAGTGGCCTCTGGCAGGGTGGCAGGCTGCTCAGCAGGCTCTTTGGGGGTCTACTTGATCAACCTCGCCCTGGCCGACGTCCTGTACCTTTCCACCATCCCCTTTGTGGTTTGCACCTACTTCACCCATGACTGGTTCTTTGGAGATGTGGGTTGCAGGCTTTTGCTCAGCCTGGACCTCCTCACCATGCACGCCAGCATCTTCCTCCTGACCGCCATGAGCCTGGAGAGGTGCTGGGCGGTGGCCAAGCCTCTGCGGGGCAGGCGGGCCAGCAGTGCCTGCTGCAAACTGGCCAGCGCCGTCCTCTGGCTCCTCTCTCTCCTGCTCATGGCCCCCATGATGGTGATGACTGAGCTGTGGGAAAGGGACAGCCCCTGCAAGTGCATCTGCGTCCCCATCTGGACGCCATCGGCTTTCCGGCTCTACCTGACGGTGCTGCTCGCCACCAGCGTCCTGGCACCCGGCGCCGTGCTGGGCATCGTGTACGCCCTCTCCAGGATCTCTGCCACCATGGTGGCCTGCTGGGCTTGCTTCCTCCCATTCTGGGCAGCTGGCCGGGCTGTACCAGGGAGAGGGGCTGGGCATCAGCCCCACTGCCCAGGCCTACCTTAACTTCGGTGTCACCCGCCTGGCCTGTGGCAACAGCTGTGTCAACCCCTTCCTCTACACCCTGCAACCCTGTGTCAACCCCTTCCTCTACACCCTGCTTGCCAGCAGCTGCTGCTGGCGCCGTGCCCGCGCTGGGACGGGCGTGGCGCGGGCTGCAGCAGCCTCTCCACAGGCTGCGGGAAGCCACAGCATCCCCCTGGCTCTCAGGGAGTGTTGGGGTCTCTGAGGGAAAGCAAGGGGTGAGCAGGCTGGGAACATCTCACCTTTGGCTGGGGTCACGTTGAGAAATAAAAGTGTGTCACCTTCCATGCCAGCATGCAGTGTCTTCCATCAATGTTGTTGCGGTGCTTTCCTCTTTGCATGGCTGCTCATCCTGCTCAGCTGGGCGGGGAGAGTGCTTGTCTCAGGGATCCTGACTTCATCCTCAGATCCTTCAGCTCACATACACCAGCCTCCACCTTGCACAAGGCTGGGGAGTGGGTGGAAGGGAGCAGTCAGCTCCCAGCAGATATGTCTAAATTATATATCTGGGGAACCTTTGCCACCCCTCATTCTCCTTGCTAGCAACGGGCCAAGCCATAACAAAGTCAGGACAACAGTGAGTCATAGATTTCACAAGAACAGTGAGTCACTGCAAGAAACAGCCACGCTAGCAATAGACCTCACTAAGGTTCATACTCCTGTGGTAAAGCTACCACTGAACTCTCTTCAAGAAACCGTCGCAAAAAAAATCTTTGAAGAATCTAAAGAAAGATTGCCAAGTGCAATTAAGAGGCCTTGCGGGATTCCCCTGTAGTACAGCCCAGGGAGTCCAGTACATCTGCTCAGCTTTCAAGAGGAAGCTGCAAGGAGAGAGCTCTCCTCTGTGTCCATCATGATAGTTCATGGCACCCTCACCAGCCCTGCTGTGGTCGAGGGCAATACCCAATTCCCTGGCCTACCAAATGTACCCCAGTCTGCCAGACTGTGTCAACACCACTGTACAAACTGAGCCGGGTCTCTTGCCTTGAGACCATCTTGCCTAGCATGGCCCATTTACATACTGCTGAACTTCTCCAAAAAGGATGGCTTCATCCTTATCACACCATGGGAAGTGTCCCAGGCTATGCTGTCCCACTGCCATGCCTATGCATAAGGTGAAATGCTAGATGTCATGTTTACAATTGTAGATGTAGCCCTAAAAAGAGTGTGATGTGATCATCCAAAGCAGATGGGCTTTGAGCAATACAGGACTTCAAGAGACATCCAGCTGCAGAGCCTCAAGTTGCTTGCACACCCCAAGTGCCCCACCTTTCAGGTAAGCTCTCATTTTTCTTCCTTCTCAGACTCACAACTCCTAGCAGCCCAGCCTCTCTCTGCATGGGTATCCAGGACACAGGACCTGGCAGAGCCTCATGAATTATGAAATAAGAATGGCAGGTACAGCTGCTGCAGGGGAAAGTCCCTGTTCTCCAGCTGCTCTGGAGACTGCTTAATGTGAGGAATTAGCCCAGCCAGGCCTGCAGGGAATCCTGTAGTACATCAAATTGTTAGTGCTTTGTGTTGCTTGTGGCCAAGTCTTTCATCCCAGACCAACGTGGTAACTGCTGTGCACTGTGGAAAGGGCAGATCCCACCTTTCCTACACCCACTGAGCACAGCATGCTCAGCAGCAGCACCAAGGCAGAATTAGACTGAGAGAGACCCCAAGGCAGCTATGCAGTAACATCAAACACGCCTGACTGCCTCAGACTTCTCAGAGTCTAGCCTCAGTTTAGACTGAGAACTGCTCAGGTTCATTTGGCCAAGTAAAATTGAGCAAAAGCACAGAACGCACATCCTTAGAATCCCACACTCCAGCTGGACATTGCTGCCTCCCTCAGCTCTGGATGGAACAGCCAAAGCACAAGGGGCAGAATAAAACCAGACACCTCCACATTTCTGCCCTCCTGTGCCATAGCACAACACTTCGTGCTCCGGCAGTTACTGGAAGAAAGGATTTGGATGAGGAACTCTCTACATGCTCTGCCACACCCAGAAAGGCATCTTTCCTACCACCTCCATACAGCAGTAAGAGGTGCCAAGCAGACATAGGAGTGGAACCAGCCTCTACAGAAGGCTGCAGCCAAAACTAGTGCAGTTGAGGACTTTGCCCTCATTCCATGCCCCACTAGGCTCACCTAGCACAGCCACTCAGTGCTGTGCTTAGTTTAGGTAATTTATTCGGGCAGTATAAGGTGCCAGTCTAGACCTCAAGAGCAGGTGACCTCACTTAAAATGATGCTTTTGCTCTCACCTGAGTGACAATTAGCCCCAGTGCCTCCTTCTGCAACTGTCCTTGGACTTTCAACCTTCTGACTTCCCAGGCTTTTAACCTTCATTCTCTTCACCATCCATGACTTTCAAGGACCAAGGCTGAGACAATTGCACCCACTTATGGTACTCAAACAAAACTGGCTACCCCTATCCACCCACTCCCAGCAAGGTGCCCAGCCCATGAGGACTCGCAATATTAAACAGATGAGATTTTGACACTTAGTACACCAAAACTCTTATTTATTGATTGCTTTTTCTGTATCTTTGAGATGGAGGTATCAGAGGAAGTTATTCCCAGCTGAGGGACTGGAGTGTGAAGTCCCCTTGTGTATCAAGGTAGTCAAAGACAGAGAGGTTAAGCCGGTTAGGGAACGTGAACTGGTGGCCTGGCAGGTGGACTGTCACATCACTTTGGTTGACAGCAAAAGTGATCTGCAAGGCAAATGGAAAAGTTAGAGAAAGTTTCCTCGAGCCTCTGCAGCACTGCTGTGCCACCCTCTGCTTCACAGGGTGAACAAGCTCAGTAGAATAACCTGCTCATCAACAGCACGAGTGTTATTCTAGTCTCCCAAGAGATGCCCATTCCCTGCTCTGTTCAATAATAACGTCTTTGAGCCAGATAGAGCTTAAACATTTGATCACCACCCTCCATCAGAGCTCAGAGCCCTGAGTGGTGGCACTGGCCAAGCAGGAGAAGCCAGCCACCTCTGTACAGACAACCCTGAGACAGCCCTTGCAGCTGAGTGTCCTGTGCCAAATGCTCTCCTTTCACCAGAGCATGTACAGAGTGTATATATATATATATATATATATATATATATATATATGCATGCCTCACCTCTGCTGTGCCCCCTCTCTGGAAAGGAAAGACAGATTCCCTGTGCTCTGCACCCCACTCTTCCACCTTCTTTGAGTTGCATACGATGGTGTTCACATCGCCATGGGCATCAAAACGGGGATTGAAGTGAAGTCCAAGGAGGGTAGCATCCTTGCCCAGATTCAACACAAAGCTGCAGAGAAAAAAAAAAAAGCACAGACATCAATACAGCTAAAAAAAAAAAAAATAAAGTCAATACTATAGTAACATGTTTCTCATTACCATGAGCATCCCTTGGTCTGTTTCTTCAAGCCCAGCTGAGGGTAACCTAAGAGAAACCTTTAGCTAAACTACACAGCTTCCTTAAAAAGATGGTACTGTGGCAGTAAGGGGCTCTTTTCTGGGGTGATAGGCTCCAGAGTGCCATCCCTGGAAGAGATACCAGTTCCTCAAACTTTTAACAAGAGAGGGGTTCAGTACACAGTGCCCTGAACAGTGTTATCATACATCTAAACCAATTCCCAAGAGTCAGTTGCTTTCCATAGATTTCCATTCAGTCCTGAACAGTTAGCTAGTGCTGCATCCTGCCTGACAGCCACTGCCTTCTCTCCATCCTGCAGGCTGCTGAAATAAATACCATGTCATTAGCTATCCCAAAGTATCTGCAGTGGCAGTGGGAGGAAGTTTCCTAGCCTAGTGTCCACCTTGCCTGCAGGCCTCTCACCCAGATGAGAAGAGGCATATTTGGCAAGAAAAACCCTGGGAGGCTTCACTCAGACAGTATCAAACTTCAAAGGCACTGGGAAGAGCTGGGACATGTTTCCTGGAACACCACTAGTTCTGGTACAGCAGCTACAGGCTCCACCTTACCTGCAAGTGCCATCCCCAGCCACAGACCTGCACAAGGGCTGGGGGCTGCTGCAGAGGCTTTGCTGGGAAACCCAGCCACCTGGCCCCTGCCCATTTAGGGGTACACTTCCACTTCAGCCCACCTGCCTGCTCACCACCTTTCTTCCTTCTTTCCTAACCACCATTTGAGGGGAAAATCTACTGGGGCATTATAAATATCCCTACTCCTGGCCATCTTCGTGCAGGGGAGAGGATGTGGTGGGGCAGATGTCTCAAACCAAATCTCAGTATAGACACAGCTTCCATTTCCTTCACCCTGCACTAGAGAGGATGTGGTCACTGCCAGCGTGTGCAGTTGGAACTTCACATCTGCTTTAGCTTAGCCCCTTGGCAGCACAGTGCCTGCAATGTGCATTAGGTGATGACTCACTGGAAGCACTGCTGGTGTTAACCCCTTCTCCTCTTCCACCCAAGAGACAGAGTCCTTTTGCCACCACCTTTTGCAGACTCTAGTGCAGTGCCCTGGCTGTGCCTGGGCAGCACAGCACAACTCACCTCTTGGCATTTGGTGCAATTTTCCCCTTGACAGTGAGGCGCTGGCCAGGCTTGAGACCCAAGTTGGTGCATACTGGTCCCTGGGGAACATGGAAGCAGAGACATTAGCTCAGTACCTGCTGGCTCACTTGGTCTGACTTGGCTGCTTTCCCTGCTGCCTTTCAAGACAGGCTTTGCTTTGGACCATGGAGAAACAGGGAAGCTCCCTTGCCCTAGGGCATTGTAGCAAGGACATCCCAGAGAAGTTCTCCCAATCACATGGTACATTTGATTGGAGTTCGATTTCCTAATCTTCCTCCTGCTGCTCTCATCAACGTATCTGTATTTCACAGCAGTGAAGGGTAAGTACATTCCAATCACACCCACCCCATCCCAAACACACCCATGTGCCTTGTGGGTCTTGTGTCATCCCACACATATCTGTCTGGGATGGATGGCAGGGATGGAGACTAGCTCATGTTTGAACTTCAAGCCTTGACTAGGTCCAAGGACTCAGACACCTTGCTTTCCATCTCCCAATGGCTTGAGCTTTTGTTTAATGGAGGCTCAGTATGTGCAAGAACATTCTTCTGCTTCACAGAGATACTTTCCCCCCACCTTCTCTCTAGGAGGACCAAAGCATCCTGGAAAGCCCATATGTACTCATTTTTCATCACAGCAGAGCCAAGACCTCAAGAATACTGAAAATCTTTTCTTATTCCATCTTAAAAAAATAAGCTTGCTCTTGGGATCATCTCTGCTCTCAGCCTAATGAAAGGCAAATCAAAGAAATGCAATCACTCTTCTGACAT